TCTTCTCGAAATAATACAGCACATCACTGATTAATTAATTCCAAAGTTAGGTAAATATGATTATACAGTATATTATATTTACAATGATATGTTAAAATCCCATAATTGAATTGTCCTCATGAACAGAATAATAAATGAAAGAAAGTTTATGCAGCATCAGTGTTTTATAAAATGTTATAAAGCTATACGCGCGCACGCTGTTTGGTGACGCGCGCACGCTGTTTGGTGACAACATGGCGCCCATGCGCCAAGTTGGCCAAACTCTCTCTATCTACGGCTCTGTTTGCCATAGAGCTATTAAACAACTAGCTATGATCTTTGCTGAGAGTGCTCGAAGAAATAAAATAGAGGGCGGCAGACTGCAATTTACTGATATCAAGGCTTCTAAATTAATTACAGTATGTAGTTGTTTGTTACGATTAAAACATATAAAGTTTTGAATCTTCACAGCAAAGATACACCGAAAATTACAATCAACTTAATGTCAATTAAGTTAAATCATCGATATCAGTGGCGTAGAAAAGTATTTTTCATGGGGGGGGGATGATTGGCGTGTTAGCCAGTGTCGTAACAGGCACGGAGAGGTGGGGGCAGGGGGAAAACTGCCCCTCCCCTGACGGTTTCTACCGGGCTGACCAAGCCGTCGTACCGGGCTGGGTAATAAGAGAAAATAAAGAGGGGAGTGGAGGGAAAGAGAAAGAAGAGAGAGAAAAGGAAAGAAAAAAAAAGAGAAGAGAAAAATAAAGACAAAAATAAAAAGGAAGATATAATGACCAGACTCACAACACCCTGCAACCTCTTCTCCACTTCAAAAACTGTCATAACTCCTTTGATCTATGCTCCCCGATGGCGTAACCACTGGGGAACAAGGGGAAATATCTATCTTTGGAAAATCTTCCCCACCCCTTTATAAATGCCCTTTTCATCCCCTGAAAGTGCCTAAAAACCTCAAATTTCTTCGCGCGCATTTCTTGTTAACATGGGCCAATTTCCTCTAAAAATTGCACATTTTAGGGAGTTTTGATCAATTCCATCGAAATTAGAATTAAACACACCGGGGGACAAGGGGAAAATATCCATCTTTGGAAAATCTTTTCCCACCCCTTGACAAATGCATCCTCTGAAAGTGCCTAAAATTCTTAAATTCTTTGCGCGCATTTCTTGTTACGGTAGGCCAATGTCATCTATAAATTGCACATTTTAGGGAGTTTTTATCAATTCCGACGAAATTAGAATTAAAAACACAAAATATTTTGTGCGCTTCGTGCGCATTTTTAGGGCATTCTTAGGTTTATCCTTTTATGTTATTTAAACACATAATAGTCCCAAACTCAAGAAAGACAAATTTAAGATAGATCGTTTTAATCTAAAAGAAGGGCCTCAATGTGTATTGATGGTGAAAGAATATGTTTGTAATAAATAAAACCATGAAAATGCTTATATTTAGATTCAGACACACGTGTGTGGCCTATATTATAAATAAGATAAGCCCTATGTCGTATTGTTTTCTATATGGGGAGTGGGGTGTGTATGGTAAATTACTAACCGGGAAAATAAATACCCACTCTGACCCAAGACCCCTGTTACGCGCCTGGTGTTAGCGCCAATGTGTGCCCTTGTGCGGACGGGGATGTGCCCCCCTCTGAAGCTGGAAACCTTGTTTTTGCAAAATAAATTGATGCAATTTGCTATTATAGGCCTAATCAATATATTCCTCATCAACCGATATAACCTTAAACATTCTTGGAATTGACATAACATTACTGATGTCGTACACATTGGTACCAGATAAAATAATTTTGTTATCAACATTAATACATTATGCTAATTTTCATCTTTGTAAGCGCATATTAAGACAGTGCAAATTAATTCTGTGACAGTCTTTTGAAGTGTAAAGCTCCATTTTATCCCATACATAGTCAAAATATTGGGGATGGGGAGATGATACAATGGACCATCCCCCTTGTCAAATATTGGGGGATATATCCCCATTTCCCCCCCCCCACCGGCATCTACGCCTATGTCCTTGACCCGCCACAGTTGGAGTACCATTTCTGAGCTACATAGAAGGGTAATTTTTATCCATCGGGGAAAAAGTGAAGTTTTCGTCGGGGAACCCATATCAAGGATAACCCTCATAATAAATAATTCATTGAGGTCGTGGAAGCAATCTCGACTTCGACTTTGTTCGGAAATCTGTAGAGCGTTCAAGGGAAGGGGGGAAGCTAAATTGTTCAATTTTTTTTAATGGAGATATAAAGAAAATTATATTCAAATTTCAAGTCTAAGAGTGTAATTTCCGGCTATCTAGAGTTGCCATAATCACAAATTTTCTTACCTCAGTATAGATTCTCCATCTGCTGAAGTACCCAGTGGCGGATTCACGGGGACCCAGCCGGACCTCCCCCACCCTCCTAAATTGTTTAATAAAAGATAATTATATTCAAATTTTATGTCTGGAAGTGCAATTTCCGGCCATCAGAGGTAAGATAAGATAAGATAAGATAAGATAACTTTATTGTTCCACAAGGGAAATTCTTCTGCTCGTCATCACATACAGTATAATATTAACAAATGTAAAACAAATATAAAAACATACAAAACAGTCACTAAAGAAAATATAACAATAGGCCTACACAAGTAAAATACAATGACTACCATCGATAAAATAAATTGAATTACAATTGTGTGTGTGTATAAATCGTCAAAGAAAGGTAAATACAGTTTTCACATAAAGGACATGATGGTACATCGTGATTTTGAGGCTCACCTTGACAGCGAGAGGGCTCAGGGTCGAATTCCGTCGGAGGAATTTTGTTATACAATGTATTTATTTATAGTACAACATGCGTTGAGAGCTATGCTACATTAGACCTCATAGGCTTCATGGTAACAGATTCAAATAAATCTTAATTCACAAGTATTAGATATCTGTAATTAAACTGGGTTCTCAGTTCACTGGGGGACCATGTTTAAATTTAATTGGGTTAGATTGCAGAAAAGTATACGGTTTCTGTTCAGTATTTACATCGGATAATATGAATATTATTTTATGTAATGTAAAGTATGGATATCAAACAGCAATATATGTTCATGCTAGTAACACCAAAAGTTTGAGCTCATTCAATTTACAATTATCTTACATGTGTTCTGAAATAAGTAGAAATAAAAAAATATAAAGACGCAGTTTCAATGGAAATTTCCTAAGCCCCACACTTTGGATATTGTTGCTGAAGCCTGCTTTCCACTAGACGAATTTATTCACTTTTTTTTGGTGTCAAATGTGTCCCCTTAATAGGATTTCTACTATATTAATACGATGCTCGTACGAAAGCTAACAATTTTTTATTATACAGTCTTGGCTATTGTAAAATATAGGTGTTGTGACGTAACTCTAACAACTCCCTGGTAATAATAATAATAATAATAATAATAATAATAATAATAATAATAATAATAATAATAATAATAATAATAATATCTTGGTAATAATAATATATCTTTGAGGAATATGAGATACTAAGACAGTAGTCGTGGCATTTTTAATTTTGTTTACTGTCTTCATTTTTGGAGAGTTGTCCAATTATGGACTTGTATTGTGCTCCGTGAGTTTGACGTTGTATTATGCCACTTTTGCTACAACTCGGCAGGAAAGCAGGCTCACAGCGAGGGATTTTTGAACGATGTTGTCAGACTGGCGGGAGCATTTTATTGGCTAATGCAATTTACCGTACCTTTAGCCAACGGATACCCCCTAGACTTCCCCTATCATCTCTAAACACGGCGATTTTTTTTTTTTAATGATACGGGTAAATTCTTCGTATTAATTGGAACAATAATTATTTAATCTAATTTAATATACCTAAAACCTAAAGTCTTGTTTATTTTTATCTCTATTTCGCTATGGAAACCTTCAAATAATAATTTTATCGTTATCAAAATAATTTTAATGAAAATTTCTTTTTCTCTTTGGTCTCAATCGTATTTTGACGTTTCTCTCTGAGACTATAGGTGGCGCTGTGTAACTTCTTACTATCGATCGATCTCTAGTATTAATTTTGTTTTCTTCGTGGCTGCTATCGATCTGATTTTAGGATTATCCCTTGAAAAAAGGGACATGACATTCACTTCTGCTAAACCTACCACTATTTGATTATTGCCGTAGGTTCAAAAACATCGTGTGTATCTGAAGATATAATGAGTAGGTGAACATGATGTCTTTAAAGTTAAGAAAAAGATTGTAAAGTTAGGCTGCCCGTGTGAAGGTCGTGTTCACTGCTGACGTATGATTAGGCCTCCCTAGCCCTAGGCCAAAGGCCTTGTTGGCTTCGGCAGGCACAATGGTCTAGTCCTTCCTGTGGCTAAACTTAAGAAGCTGAGCCTAGGCCCTAGGTCTACCTTTGTCCTCTTCGTCCATACATTTTGTGTATGTGTTTATTAATTCATAACTTAAGTTACCGCTTCATTTCTATAGCGCAAGAACAATACAATTGACACACCCTTAACTTAGTCATTACTTTATATTAAATTTGTGGTTGGACATACATTAAAGTCTGCCATCTGAAGTCACTACTGTCTGTCTGTCTGTCACTGACCTCACAAAGGTGGTGGTTCCTTCCAGGAATACTATTACTAAAGACTGTTATAGGCTTAAGTCTAATTGGAAATCTAAAAAAATCCCCCAAACTAACTTGGAAGACGCATCCATTCATATCCGAGTAAGGGGATGTCATTTCGTATGAATTTAAAGAAAAGCTGGCATTAATTGACATTATTTTTTTTAATCCCAGCACATCGTTTTGAATCCTTTTATAGGCCTACTTTACAATGGCTTTCATATTGATTGTTAAATATTTATATATTTGAATGACAGGTGTTATCATATTCTATTTCATTGAAACCATGTTTTTACAATCTGGCTCACAAGTCACTATTGTTGGTTGCATATATTATTATATTACACCATGAAACATGTATAGAATTAGTAATTCCTTTAATTTCAATACCAATAATTTGTAAGTAAATAATCAAAATAGTAATTACTATTAAACTTTATTAATAATTAATACCAGCTGCAAAATACATCGGGCAAAAGTGCTGAATTTTCCAGCATGTCCAATTCTGAGATAAAATTTGTTAATTATGTTCACTGTTTTAATTAATAATAATATTAATATAAATATCAACTTTTTTAGCAGCAGAGCTGCTGATAAGACATTTTGTAAACCTGTATTAATAATATTTTAAAAACATATACTGTAAAATAATTATGTAGAGCATTTTCTAAGAGAGTTCCACAAAGGACTTTATATGTAATGAATGTATTTTGAATTATGTTTTAATGCGCTATGTAAGCTATTGAGATTACATACGAATGATACAGTAGCTCTAGCAAAATGTGATTAACAATATACCCTCATCATTCCATAGAACTCAATAAACAGGGATGTAGCTGTAGAAAACGAAGGAAGGCTGGTACACATTGTCAGGGTGGGTGGGTGGTAAGATTGGTAAACTCTAAATAATATGAGTGGATTTTAAGGATGGTCAAGGAGGTTAATAAATGTGGGTAGACAGCCATGGAAATGAGTTTTAAACTAGTTGGAAAACTTCGAGGCCCCACCCACCATAACTACATCCCTGAATACATGGTAGAATCGATTTTAGTTCTTACTCTCTGATAAGGTTAGACTTTTTTTTTATACCTTGTTTCGCGAAACCGCCGCCCTCCAATATTGATAATTTTGAATAAAAATAAAATTATATTTTTGGCCGATTAGCCCACCCGCCGTGGTGAACAACTGGAAATTTCAGAAAAAAAAAATTTTCTTTATTTTTATCAATCTAACATGGAAATGCCCCAACAACAATCCAAAATCCAAAGCCACAAAGTTTCTAGAACTCTACTTACAGTGGGTAACTCAAACGGAGAAATATGAAACATATTTACCCTGTCAGAAATAACCAAGCTCACACTAAACATTTTGGTTTTGCAGGTATTTGACAATTTATTCTATTCTATAAATAGATTGGAAGATGCTACGATTATACCAACGCTTTCTTGCCGTATGTGTCATATCTATTGGCTTGTGTATGTTTATTATTTACAGACAACATCCTCATGTAACGGAAAGGTAAGAGGAAGATCCTAAACAGGTTGTTTCCATACCCGGGGTAGATCAGGGGCATAACATTAGTAGTACTTTGGGTATTTCTCAATCACCTCCTCAATTATTTACAAAGCTACAATCACAACAAACGGAGAATCAAAGCATTACATCGGGCTCACAGATACCACATTTAAAACCCGATATACAAATCATAAGCACACATTCAATGCACCAAAACACAGAAACAGCACAGAACTTTCAAAGTTCATATGGAAACTAAAAGACAGCAAAACACAATACAATATCAAATGGTCCATCATTGATAGAGCCTCATCCTACTCACCCAAAACAAAGCGACGCAATCTATGCAACGCAGAAAAGTTTCATATAATTTATGCAGACAAACAATCTACTTCTGTCTCTTATACACATCTAGATGTGTATAAGAGACAGCTATACGTTGCCTGAACCGACAACTTTATATTCATTTATATATATATATATATATATATACTGTATATATAAATATATATATAAAAGAGCCATGCTACTTGCATGTTTGTTGTGATGAACGTAATCATTAATACTGGCCTCTAAAACCTAATATGATTGAGGTATTATTTTAAAATTTAATTAGGAATTTTCTGAGTTATATTTTTAGTTATGCAGGCCTTTTGAAGAGGCCCCCAATAACCCCGGACCGCAGTGCTTGCACTGCCCATACCTACACCACTGATGAAAATATTTTTATAGCCTACCTTGGATCGCCAAAGATGTGCTTTATAGCTTATTATGTGCTTTACAGCGGCAGATGCAGCAGCAAACCTAGCAGATCGGCCTATTGTTCTAAAGCAGAGCTTATTTTGTTTTAAAGTTTGGCCTCTTTGATTACTGGGAGACTTAGGATCCCTGTTTGAAATGACCGTATAGCTAGAGTTACACCAATGTTTTTGAATGTTTTGGTATGGAAAGGAATTTAAAAAAGGGGGAGGCAGATTCAGCTTGTTTTAAATTTTTCTTAGGTTTGTTACAATCATTTATCTGTAGTCTGACAAACCCAGGTTGCTTAGCAATCTTGCCAAAATTGTTAAACCGGTCACTCACTGCAATTAACGTTTGTTAGCCAATGATTTCTCCATTCCCTGTGAGCGTTAGACAATGCGACATCATCCATCTGCTGATTGTTGATAGTCTTTAACAAAGACCCATTACGCATGGGTCGTGGTGCAATAAGTCCTACAGTAGCTTTAAATTCCTTATTTAAACTCTTGGATGTTGGACAATATTTTTTTCCTAATCAGTGGCATACTTAACTGATCATCAAGCCCCCACTTCACCTTAGCGCCCTCACAATCAGCACCCTCATTTCAAAACTAGATATGCCACTGTGCTAATTATGTGTCTAATGCTATGCTCCTGTAGTATTTTTCACTCTTTTCGTACATCTGTAATTGAAACAAAATTCTGTAGGAAAACTAAGGAATTTATGAAAAAAATAAAAAATATTTAAAATGCCTTGTATATTTTTTTTGTTTATTTTTAACCTGTAATAATAAGTTTTTATTTGGATAAATAAATTCTGATATTTGAATCTCTGTTTTTCCAGCAAAGGCGAAGTAGATTCTGTTCTGATCCGTGAGGTTGAATATGACAGACCTCCAATAGACGACAGGCCTGTACTCACCCAGGAGCCATATCATCCAGATGCGAATGTTAAGCCTGCAAATTTAAGTGTTCTTGAGCAGCCTCTCCCAAAGCAGAAGTTTGGAGAAATGATACATTATACCAAAAACAACTCAGAATTTGATTTCAGGACTAAAATCGATTTTAAGCCAACTGTAAGCTATGTCAAAGATTCTACACTTTTGTTTTAGTGCTTACATATGATATTAGTATACTTGGTGTCAATATTGTGTATTTACGTTGTTATTGCCATTTTATTTTGTAACCATGTTTGAAATTTATTCAAAATGAAATATAATGAAGATTTCATTAGATTTACTATTTATTATTATTTAATCTATTTTTTTTTTTTTGACAAAATTCTTTTCTCAGACTTGTTTGAACTCCATTCAGAAGAAGCTGCAAGAAAGTGAGTGGGCATCGGAGATGTTCCTGCCGAACATCACCATGGTGATGCATCAGGGAATAATGTCAAAAGAGGAATATGACCGCCTACATGAATTCGGGCTGCCTTTTGGTTTATATTTCCGTGATGAATTAACATATCCAGGTGAGATAAACCTTGCATGGGAAGGTTTGGTAATATTATGTAATTGCAAATAGATATTTTATTTCTAAAGACAAAAAATCTATGGTATATATTGATATTTTATTATTGTTATATGTAATAATAATTATTATTATTGTTATCATACTGTTTATTGATATTGCTTTTATTATTATCAACAATATTAATAATTATTACTATTATTACTAAGTGGTACTCTTACTACTGTAGTTTGTTAATTTTATAAATTATATGTAATAATTTTTGTTATTGTTATTGTTATACTTTTATTCATATTACTTTTATTATTATCAATGCTATTAATACTATTTTAATTCGTGCTACTATAGTATTATTAGTTTAATGATGATAGTATCACTAATTAAATTAATATTAATTAGTGGTACTATTATTAGTTTAATAATAATAGTACCACTAATTGAAATTGTTTTTAGTTTAGTTATTAGTTTAATATTAATTTTTATAATTGTTAAAGCACCATCTTCTCCCATACTTAAACAGCTTGTTATTTTATATATTTACAAACTATTTGAATTGTGTATTATTACGTTTGTTAACGATTTAGTTAACGGAAAAACGAATGACATAAACACTAGATTTAGTAACCAATTTAATTTTGCCATTCCAAAATCCTGTGTAGATGCTGGAAAATTAAAAATTTATTTTTATGGTTCACAAGTCTGGAATAATTTGAAATGCACCTTTTCAAAATCAATATTTTTACACGATTTGAAACCTTTGTTACTACAAAAATATATATGATGTCAGTCCATCTTATAGTTTATTATTTCTTTGATTTTTATTCTTAATTAAGGAGTTATAGCTTAAAACTGTTATATTTAAGAAAATTATTATGTAATGATTGTTAGATTAGGAGTCAAACTGCGATTAGCGCAAGCTATTTATTTACTCCTTTTCACCGATTTGTGAATAAATGTGAATAAAAAAGAATATATATTAATAATACCTTTTATTATTATTCGAAATAAATACCACTCAATAGAATAGAACTGTTATTGTTGTTGTTACTGCTATTGAATTTTTTTCCATATTGTCATTATTATTATTATTATTAAACCTTTAGACTTACAAGATGTTCTATCGAATCTTTCACGTGAGGACAGCATATTAGACTTTACTGGTAAGGAGAAGCCTTCGTGTCTAAGCTGCGCTGTAGTTGGTAATGGCGGCATTCTCAATGGATCTAAACGCGGGAAAGAGATAGATGGTCATGACCTTGTTTTCAGGTTAGTACAGTATCTCTTCAGTTATTTATTATTATATACCGCATACATAGATTCTAGGCATCTGATTGGTTAAGAAGTGGGCAATAGAAAGTACTATTCCCCTCAAACAGTGCTATACTCCTGAAAAATAGTACTTTTTTGCCCTGTCACATGTGCAAACTCTAGGCCCCAACATCGCAGTGACGGTAAAGGGGACTGCGACCTCTACAACGAAAGAGATTGGCCCTTGACCACGCCATGGATCAGTGAGTAGACTATAAACAAATATGGAGGCTAGGCCTAGTCGGATCTAGTCGGATCCTGGATGAAGGACTAGCCTAGGCCTAGCATTACTTCTTGATGAAACAGATAGCAAAAAGCACCAAAGACAAATTAAGTATGTCTCGTCAATGTTCGACGAATATTGCAAGACGATGGGTGCTATTGAAATTGAGGAAATGAGCAAAGAAGAGCTAGACACACTCTTTGATCGTCTAGGCTAGGAAGTAAGTACTTTCTTAGGCCTTGTAGAATCTATGTGTGAGGTATATAAAACAAATATTGACTGCTCTAGTTTCGGAAAATGGTGACATCTATTGCCCCAAGGTGATGTGGAGACCGTAGCCTATCTTCCCAAGGGCCATTCCCCTCATGAGCAGTCAATATTTATATTATAAATTATTATTATTATTATTATTATTATTATTATTATTTCATTTATATTTATTTTATATTTATATTTGTTAAAAAATTAAAGAAAGAAAAGATAAAAAAAAAATAAAGTATAGTAAAGCTTGGTTTCAATAGAATCGCTGACCCTATCGGTGACAGTCGCCAACAGTTGTCAGGGAAGTTGAACCTGGTTCAACTTTGCCAATTGCATTGCAGACGAATAATGGTGCATTGCTAGCTGCCCTGATGCAATTGGGAAGGTTCTCCGATTCGTCTGCAGTGCAATCGCCAAAGTTGAACCTTAAGGTTAAGAAGATTAAAAGAAAAAAAAGGTTGAAAAAATCTAAACTAAAGAAAAAAATAGATAAAAGGACAGTTCTAAGTAATAAGTTGATAATAAAAGGATAAGTTTTTGGGCATGAGTATAATTAATAATTTTTTTATGTTGGCAGGGTGAACCATGCAATTCGAAGGGGGTTTGAGGAAGATGTTGGTACCAGAACTACTCACTATGTGATGATGGATAGATCACTAGCACACACTAGCAAAGAAGATATCCCAGCTGATAAGGTGATTATATAAGTGCTTATCATTATTCGGATTAGATGTTAAGTCCTTGATCCTGCTTACAACATGCCCAATTTACATGTTTTAATATGGGAATGAGCGGGGGGATTCTCCCAGTGTACTGCCCATTCACAGGTAGTAGTGGCGCTACACTGGGCCCCATACAAAATTTTCAACTAGCAAAAATTGTGTTACTTCGCTTTACCGTACCTTGTTATTTTCTCACCTCCATAGATGACCAGTCAATCAATGTCACACTGCAAATCAATATGCATAATGAATCATTCTGCTAAGTCCAGCCCTTTGCACGTTGTTACTAAAGTTCCATAAACAACAGCATTTTGTAAAAAAACATGGCTGACTGTGGTTGTAAATGTAAACTTGTAAATTTTTTGTACATGTACAGTACATATTCCTAGTCTGGCGTATCGAATATCGCATTTTGGTTGGCCAGTTGTTAAGTTTAAAAACGGGCATTCACTGCTCCATTCAGCTTGAGTGCTATACGACACGACAAAGTCCGCTGATTGTCAGTGGCAATCCAAACAGATCATTAAGCCCTGCTTAACACTCCAAAAAGGTCCATTGCACTTTTAATTTCTAAAAAACAGAATAATTCAAGTTATTTAAATTATTTTTTTCATCTTTTTAGGGGATCAAGTATGTTTTCTTACCGTGTAGAAGGAATGACTATAAATACATTAATCAAGTTACCCGCAGCACAAATCCAAGACAAAAGTTTGCTGCAGATCCGAAAGATATGAGGATTTTACATCCAGATTTTGCTCGTTATGTCCACAAGGTGTAAGTAGCCACTTCACTATCTATTAAATCAAAGTGTATATAGTGTATTTTATCATAAAGCAAATAGAAAAAAGGTATAAAGAGATCTTGTCACTGTGTAACACCCACTTGTGTGCGAAATTGTTTACTTTTTTCTCTATTGCAAGTTTTGGAATTTAATCATTTATACTTTTTTTTTGTTAGTTGGATGAAAGTGAAGGCATTCCGGCCCACAACCGGTGGTATGATGTTCATGTCAGCGCTTCACGCCGGATGTGACACCGTGGATGTGTACGGTATGGGCTACACGAGACAATATTCCGATCATTATTATGATATGACGTACATGCCTTTCCAGTCGTACCTAGGAAGCCATGACTATCGTCGAGAAACTGCAATCATGAAAAGCATGGATAAAGATGGTATTATCAATTGGTACAAGCGAGATGTCAAAGAGTTTCTATGATCTGTAAATAAAGACATAGATGGTGATGGTTGTGGAGTGAACATACAGAATGGAAATGGTGGAGAATGGAAAATTTAATTGAGATGATTGTGAACTAAAACAAGGTATTTACTACAGATAGTATCTAAAGCCAGGCTTCTATAGAATTGCTATTTTCTCTGTAATTGTTGCACTGCATAGCCGATTTGACCGACCAATCGGCATCGCCGACAGCGTTAACATGTAGCGATTTTATGGAAATAAATGAAGCTTTAAGTACAGTAAAAATTCAGTACCCCTTAATTCTTAATCATTGCACTATATAGAGAATAAGGGAGTTTGGATTGGATTGGATTTATTCGGTGTAAACACCAAGGATAGCCCATGAAAATCTAGAAGAAGACTTATTTCCAGTGGGGTTCTTCTGGGGGTGATTGGACAGTACACCGAGAGGTACAATCCCCTACTCTTTTCCGAAGAGTGTACTGCGTTCTTCAACGTGCACACATGGGCCATAAATGCACACGGGACCAACGGCTTAAACATCTCATCCAAAAGACAGTGCACTATTGTAACTTGTATTTCAGCCCTCTGGCTGAAACACAAGGAGAGGCAGCGATGGGAATTGAACCGGGGACCTAGAGATCTCCATTGTTCAGCGCACACACAGTGGCTACCACCAGATTAGCCGACTGAGCTAAGCTGCTGTCTGATGGATAGTCAAAGAGGCTAAATAATTGCTACCCTGTTTTCACTGCAATTGTTAAACTGCGTGGGCGATTTCTCCGACAAATCGGCATCGCTGACAGCGTTAACATGTAGCAATTTTTTGGAAATAATTGAAGCTTAAGTAAGGTAACAATCCAGTACTTCTTAAACTATATTATTTGCACAATATGTAGAATAAGGGAGTATGTCTGATTTATATTCAAAGAAGCCCACAGGCAGTCGTAGCACAATGGTAGAAAAACAAGACTAACAGGTATTAGGGAGGGTGTTACTTAAAAAAAAAAAATATTTAGGAATGACTTAATAATGCTTGGGAGAATAATTATTGTTCTTCTAATCAAATCAAAACATCAAGACAATCTCAACAAAACAGTTCTTTCCAGAACTATCTACATGGTGTACCGCATGCATTTATTATTATTATTTTTACTTCAATAGTAATTGTTATTATCGTGATGGAATAGACAATAACTGGATTTGCGTCAGGAGAAACATGTATAGGTGTAATTTTGGATAAACTATGATGTGTTTATTCATTTGAACTAGGTAGCAGTTACAATATTAAATCTCTTTTTCTTTTTCAAAAAATTTAAACTCAATGGTCGACTTCTCCCCATAACTTTTTACAAATGTGCAAAGAAATATTCTTTCTCTGGAGACCTATGTAGCAGTGAAATCATGATAGTAGTAATATTGATTGTTAAGAAAGTACTATTGTTACATAGGTATCAATTAGCACACAGTGCTTCTAAACAAATTTATAATACTTTAATTTATTAAAATGTTAAAGATATACTGTCTGTTAAAATCTGGAATTAAGTCATGTAATTGCTCATATTATGGACCCATATCCAGGTTTCCTTAAAGGGGTTTTTCTGTGAGAGTCGAAGGCCTACAATACAGCAAGGCTGCATGTTTGTGTCAAGAAGATTTCTTGTGGGTCATGTGATTCTAGCATGTAAAGCTCTGTTCAGATTATCAAATTTTCTTTAACAAAAAACTGTTGTATGCCCATATATAGTCATGATGTGCCTATATATGGTCATGATATGATGTCATCATGACCATATTTAGGCAAATCTTATGTTTTGGTCATATAAATGTTGATAAATCCTATAAAATTTGATGAAATGATGAATTTCATCATCATTTTGCTGGTTGTTGATGCAAAAGGCAGAGTGGTTTAGTTAATGGAAGGGGGTTTTTCTGAACTGCCTCCCCCTTTCCGGGTCTGTTTTATACACTCACTCTTAGGGACCAAGATCTCATACATAAATGTAATTCCTATATTATAAAATGTATTTATACTATTTGTGGCATCTATAGCACTTTTTTAACACTATAGCACATTCTCCATGTACAGTACTTAAAATATGGTAATACCAAATAACTGCACTAACACTGTAGATATGTCGTTTTATAAAGTGTTGTCTGATAACATCAAAGGATTTGTAGGTACACACTGCTAGCTCATGCCACTGCCAAGTCGAAAGTTCCGTGCCATGCTGACCATTTGTAGTTCGCCAAGGCAATATATCTGTTTCTTCTGCATAGAATGCAGATGTGCACCCTGTAAAATGCGAGTCCCAAATTTTCGTTTGTTATCATGAAGGAGGACCACATAAGTACCTTGGCACCTATAACATTATTAGTGGCTTAGTGCACCACTTATTAAAAAGGAGATGCTTACTAGAGAGTGGCACTTACTGTAATGGAAATTTTTTGAGTCAATGAAACAATGCTTTGTACATTGCAGGGATCCCAATTTGGTAAGTAACTTAGGGGAGATTTTGTATTATGAGCCCATGGTAGATTGTTGAGGATTCTATCAAAAACCTTGAGACTTTAAAAACAAAAGCGAATGTTTGTACACTCTAGACCCTAAGATGTATGGTGATCAATCATTAAAAGCAACCCACCAAAGTTGACTAACAACCCAGATTTCTTTAACTAATGACATAATGTACCGAAAATTTCTCAAGATCCAATTTTGGGTCGCGACCCTTAGCTTTGCGTCTGCTACTGTATAAATATTAGGCTAATGTTTTAAATAGGGTGAAGTGCTTTGGACATTATGTTCTTGGAAATGCAACTCATAAACAATTTTCAACACTATATCTCAACTTATTAGCTTTCAAAATTGTATATGAAATCACTAAGTATATAATATTTAAATTATTTTTGTATGATATGAGGCATATGCCTATATATTACTGTTTGAATTACAGTTGATTTTACAATACATATTTTTCTCAAAAATATTAATTGTCTCCCTCTAAAGACCTTTCAAATGAAAGACCACCTACAATTTAAGACCACTTTTCTGTAGTCCCCAAATTACCAAATTTCTGTTATCTTCATTGCTCTAATTAGAGACCAAAGCTACTTAAACGATCATGCAAACCCTGGTCCCAATAGTGGTCTTTAATTAGAGGGAGACCTGTATTGCAACTCATGCTCTTTTTCTAACAGTACGTCGTAAATTATGAGCTAAATTTCACCTTTGAAATCACAGATTGAATTATATTTAAATTATTTTTATATGATAGTATGGTAAAATGATGTATAATGTCTTTAAAGCTTTGTGAATTAATGTTGATTTAACAATCAAAATTGGTGCGTTTTCTTGGATATTTTTGTATGTTATTGTGATTTTGTGGATTTAAGTTAAATACAATAGATAGTACCTTGTGTAAATATATTACTACCATTATTTATTATATTTGCAGAATTATATAAAATTAGTTAACAATGTTTATAGGTAAAAATGGTGTGTTACTCAAGAGTAGGCCTATATTTTGTTACTGAAAATGTTTTGAAATAAAACAATTGCCAATATATATGACATTAAATATGGTGCCTAATCAGACTAACTCACTTAATTGTTAGAATCATACTTTTTGTAATGAAACATAATTGTTTTTCATTTAAACGATATTTGCAGAATACAAAATTTTCATTTCAGAAGTCAAGTCAATAAATCTGGAAATATTAGAAGTAGAATCATGCTAGCACAATGTTAATGGTGTTGTTGATGATGACGACGACGATGTTGATGATGATGAAGTGTATGATGATGAGGATGGAAACAGTGATGATGGTGATTATTATTATGATGATGATTATGACGACGACGACCATGATGATAGGGATGATGATATAGATGACAAGGAGGTTAATGATAATTATTACAGTGATGATCAGCATAACGATAAGAGGATGATGATTATGACGATGATTATAAAATACATAATGAAGGTGTTGATGAGAATAATGAAGTGTATGATGATGAGGAGGCTGATAACCGTGATGATGATGATTAGTATTATGATTATGGCGATGATGGTAATATTGATGACGAGGAGGTTAATGATTGTTAAAGTGATGATGAGGATAATAATAATAAAATGATTTAAATGACGATTAAAATACATTGACGATGGTGATGAATTGAGTATGATAACGGTGATGATAGTGCTTATTAGGCGAACATTTTTTTATTCCTTGTTTAGCGAACCAGCCGCCCGCCAGTAATGATGATTTGGAATAAAAATAAAATTTTATTTTGGCCAATTAGCACACCCGCTGCTACAAAAAATGGAAATGTCAATAAAAAAAAGTTTTCTTTGCTTTTATTATGCCTTTCGCTGCCTTGAAATCTCCAAAAATAAGGTATGTGTATTTCTTCCTAATTATATAAATGTAAAGCATTTAACCATCCCATTACTACACTGCTTACATTCATCAATAATATATGGTTTTAGCAAAACCATATGCTAAATAAGAAACAATCTTTAAAAAAATTAAAAAAAATTAAAAAATAAAAATAATAAAAATAAGTTTGCAAAACAAGGTATGAAAAAGTCTCGCCTTATGATGTTGATTATGATGACGACGTCGACGATGATGGTGATGATAATTTTACTGATGATGAGGAGGCTAATGATGATTATTATAGTGATGATGAGGAGGATGATGATAACGATGACGATGATTATTATTTGAATACATAATGATTCATGGTAGGAAAAACATTACTCTTATGATATTTTCCTGATGCAGACATTTGCAGTATCCTCTGCTACTTGGGGATCGGATTCGGGAACACTAGTCACTAAGCGCAAGTATAAGTAGTGGTTATGGCGACAGGCTAGTTATCTGGAGGCCGTGTGTTCGATTCCCACCTGAATCACTTGCGATTGTTTGCAAGTATTTTGGAACGTACTGAGTAGGCTTAGTCGGTATGATAACACGTCACGTAGAGCTAAACATCACTCTTATCATTCATGCATGGGCGCAGATCAGGAGGTGGTTGGTCCCCCTCACTTTTTGATTTCTTAAGTCAAGTAGATGCCTGAAAATTGTTGAAATGAACTGTATAAATGACTCAGAATTTAACGAAAGAGCACCCACAGTCAGAGTACATCTTATATTATAGCAAGATACTGGTATTTCTAACCACAAACATTTGAATTATCTATAATACACGATTCGAATGCATTATAATTTGAGAAGTATGATAAAAAGCGTGTAAAGATACGATTGGTTTTCGGCATATGTAGGTAAAGTAATGTACAGTAAATGCATCAAAAACAATTTCAGTTGTAAAACTTATAAGTTTTGTTTTCTATGGTACATCACAGAGATCAATTAGGTTTCTGTGATTGCAGACAATTGTTGATGAAAGACCATGAGACATTTGTTGGCGCTTCATTTTGACTATAAGAGTGATGGGATGATGAATACTAGCCTGTTAGAAGTGTCATTTCTGGCCCGGTCACATTACTATTTCCTCAAATTTTCGCACCTCAGCTCCAACCATGGTGGGGCTAATATGAGTGTGGACTCACATCTTCAAAGTAGGTAAAAGTGAATACATCAAGAAATTTGTTATTTTCTATGGTACATCACAGAATATTTAGATCTCTGATTGCCAAAAATCGCTGATAAAAAATCATGAGAAATTTGTTGGCGCTTCATTTTGACTATAAATTTGATGTGATGATGAATTTTACTATATAAGAGTGTCATTTCCGGCCATCTAAAGGTACTATTTCCTCAAATTTTTAAGAGCCAATTAGCAGTTGGTAATCGTCGATTTACTTAAGCCTATTGTTCCTATAACAACGATGTTTACAACATGTTAATGTATGGTTTCAGTCGTCCCGCGTGGCTCTCTTTCTATGAAAGCAGCGAAAGTTATTGGCACATCTTATTTCCTTTTTAAGGGGATTTATTAATAGGTCCATGGATTTATAATAGAGAAAACAATTAACTTAATCAAGCAATTCCTCGAAAGTGGTCCGACTTTAGGCTTATGTGTAAGTATATCTATTATAGACCTATATGTAAATATTCCTCTTTTTTACGTTTCAGTTAATATATCAAATTTAAAACTATTAATTATTATATGTATAAATATGTACAAATGTATATAGGAATTTTATTCGGGTGTAAAGAAAAGTTTAGGATTCGAAAATGTGTACGATCCTGTTTCGCGAGGCCTAACAATTTACGAATTATATGTTGAAGACAAAGCCCAATAATTGAACATGATGGGTGCATCGTCCTTTCCTCTACCTTCTGATAAAACACAAACGTTTGAATAAAAGTGTGTCATTAGAAGACAATTAGAAATTATCACCTATTATTACAGGTAAACTAATTCCGTGAGAAATAAGTTACAGGTATTAGTTGTTTTAATAGCCTGACTGAGGAATAAAGTGTTAATGATGTGATTATTCAGCGTATATAAGGCTGTTGTCAATAAAGTTTTTTTTAAGTTACTCGATGCTTATTGCGATGCTGACAAAAATCTTAGGTCTGTGTTTGGTTCTACTGAGCCTTGGTTCGCCGGCGGATTCGAATAAAGATGACTTACCTAGTGATTTGTTGATTGCAGAAGATCCTTATGGTTTGAGGGTAAGCATGAATATATATATCGTTCTTTCTAAGATACACAGGCATATCACAACGTATTTGAAATTTAAAATTTATTCGTGTATTTGTTAGCTTGGAATTCCTAAACATAATGTGGCGTCTATAGACTGGAATATAGAAGTTTTGTTTAAAATTGGTTTTATTTCTCTTCTTGATCATATGTATATATACATACATATATATTATCATCTTTATACACATACATCCACACACACACACACACACATATACACACACACATATATATATATATATATTTTCTTGAAGGCTGTCTCTTATACACATCTTGCGCCTTCGATAATTTTTTATTGGCTCAGTAAAAATGTCTGATTATTATTATTATTATTATTAATATTATTATTATTATAGTAAGAACGTTATTATTAACTGTAAGTTATTAAAATATAATAATACTAAATACGAATGAAGACACAAGCAAAAAAAGAGACATTAAAATTTGGGAAAATTGTTTTGTAATAGCCAGCAGTAAAAATATTATTATTAGCAGTAATATATATATTACTGCTAATAATAATATTTTTACTAGTAATATATATATTTGGTAAATAATAATATAATACTCAAATACAGAAACAAATGTAGAATATATTATAATATATTATATTATATTATTAACTAACATAACTCAAAGATTTTTTAACACTTCCTAGACGTTCCTAGAAAAATATGGCTACATAGAACCACAACTCGGTGGAGACTTTTTTTATCAAAACATCTCTGAGGCCATACAAAGCCTACAGCAATTTGCCAATATACCAGTTACTGGTAAGTTTCGGTTCTTGATAGCAAAAAAATATATATTTATTCCCTTCTGTCGCATAACATATTATAATGTAAATAATTTAAGCCCAACATAACTGTTCAAAACTTAAAATAATGGGTCTATGCATGTTAAATGTTTTTCTTTTTCCTAATCATGTTGATGTATTGTCACTAACAAAACATCACTGAACGGTAAACAGGTCAACTCGGCTTCATGTCAACTCGGCCCCATGTTAACTCGGCCTCAACCCAACTCGGTCTAAATTCAACTCGGCCCCAAGTCAATCGGGCCCAAATAAACTCGGCCCCAGAGCCAAATCGGCCCTAAACCAACTTCTATTCTGCACAAAATAATGAATATACAATGGATGAAATGACCAGAAGGGTGTTGATTAGATACCGTACGATATATTTTCTGTTGTCATATTTTGCATTTGATACTATTATTTAATTATTAATCGCAGCTTTAAAAATTCTCTTATGGTGTAGCCTATGTGTCTACCGGGTGGCGAAGTACCGGGTGTAAATTTTAGTCTATATTTTATATATCGCCTATGTTTGTCGTTGTATAGGGACCCGTGGGCCCAATTTTAAGTAACGTTGAAATAGTAACGTTTCTTTTTTTTATTTTCTTCAGGTCGATTGGACGATCAAACCTTGGCTTTGCTTGACGCACCGAGATGTGGTCTACCTGATGTTCTCCCGTTCAAAACTGCTTCGACCGGTTGGCCAAATCATCAAATCACGTACAGTATCGAATCTTATACACAAGACCTATCTACAGACGATATAGAGGACACAATCAGAGATGCATTAAAGGTAGGTTTGTGTTTATATTTGAGCTCAACGATCAGAACATATATGATTGTTAGAGTACTGTATTGTATTTGGGGCAGGCGTTGGCTTTCAATAGAGGCTGTCTCTTATACACATCTAGATGTGTATAAGAGACAGCAATTTCAGTTGTAAAACTTATAAGTTTTGTTTTCTATGGTACATCACAGAGATCAATTAGGTTTCTGAATATAGATGTGTATAAGAGACAGCCCCTGCAAACTGCTTGTGCCCTTCCTAGGGCGAGATACATTAATCGTGAAGTTTTGAAAACTTAAGCAATACAATGACTGATCTATATTTATACTTTTGATTTAAATAACGAAACTGTAAATGTAACATAATATAGAATAAAATATATCTGATTTCTCTTTTAGTTTCTGCGTACTATGCAAAGTATTTCGCGTACTCGTAAATCCGAGTTTGTGGGAATTATACCCACATACTCCAAAATTGTGGTGTTTGCACCTGATACTATAACATGAATTTCTGTTAATCTAATTCATTTAATATTCCTATTTTCTTGAAGGTGTGGGCCGATGTAAGCTCACTGACATTCCAACGAGTGCAACCAGGTCAAGGGGCTAACTTGCAAATTGAGTTTGGGGCAGGGTCTCATGGAGACAATATTCCATTTGATGGCAGAGGTGGCGTCCTTGCGCATGCGTTTTTGCCGCAAAGAGGCGACGCACATTTTGATGATGATGAAAATTGGACGATTGATTCTCATTTAGGTAAGCAAGCTCTAAGTAAAATGTTATTATGTATCGTCCATTTCGTGAATATTTACCTGGATAAAGCGATATAAACCAGATCCCTAAAGGAACTTACCCTAGAAAAAAATAGAACCTTCTAACTTAGGTGTATATAACTTGGTATAATCATAGAGAAAATGTTCTATTATCTCTATGGTATAATAACGCTTCGACGTAATATTATTATGTAACAAGCCCCAAATTTCCTTTCGTGTTATTATTGTTGTTGTCTCCTTCTCATCAGCGTCAACATCATCATTCTCATCATTATTTTACAATTATAATTGTTTTTATTATCAAATAATACGTTTATTTTTTATTTATATCCAGGTGTTAACCTATTCATCGTTGCTGCTCATGAGTTTGGGCACTCACTCGGACTCTACCATTCTGATGACAGGGATGCGTTGATGTATCCTTATTACACAGGTTATGATCCAGATTTTCAGTTAGGTTCTGATGATATTGATGGAATACGTTCACTTTATGGAAGTAAGTTATTTTCATTTCATTTTAATTCGTTTGCCTTTTAAACGTATTATTTGACTTTCGTTTATGTATTACTACATAATGTTTAAACATTCTATTAATTATTTTTATATAGGTCCAGCACGACCACCGACTACACGTCCAACAACGACTACACCCCAAACAACTACACAGACAACTGCGCCCCAAACAACTACACGCACAACAACAACTACGCCCCAAACCACACCACCAACAACAACACATTTAGCAACACGACCACAACCAAGGCCAACACTCACGCCGACTATTCCACCCGAGTGCTCAGGAGAAATAGATGCCGTAATTACCACATACCAAGGCCAAACATACGCATTCAGAGGTAAGGTATTAATTTTTTTAATTTCATAACTTTAATTCATAAGTAGTTTTTTGTTCAAGTGGGCCCGTAACTAAACGTCCAGACGATGCGCTGTCAAACCAGGACAACCGACCTTATGTGTGTCTGCCCTTCCCTTTTATACTTTTTGAGTCCTTTTTGGGGGGTCGGCTTTACCCACAAGAACAAGATCCATCTCCTCATCAGATATGAACCTGAATCTAATACAGGTCTTGCACCCCATTAGAAGTTATTTAGTGTAACTTTATTCGGAAAATTAATCTCAAAATCGAATTTCCGTCCCCGGCGTAGTCAGTGACGTCGTATGATTTGTGTGCGATTTTACCAATTAACCAAGTACCTTGCAAATCAACCCATAAACCTGGTAGTTTGTTGATTGTTTATTGGTAGCGTGGTGACATCGTGAGGGCATGGTGAAGGCTGGTTACGATTTGGTGGCACATCGATCAAGTATTTTCATTCATTTGGCCATGTACGTCAGTGGCGTATTTAGATGTCCTG